CCCCAAGAGCAAATTCCAGTGCCTGGCCTCCAGAACTGTAAGGCATGTATTTCTGTTCTTTAGAATTTACCAAATCTCAGATATTTTATTACAGTTAGCCTCAGTGGACTAAGATAATCAGTTAGTTTAGATATATGGCCATTATTCTGGATGTTTCTGTGAGACTGTCCTGGGGTACGAATAATATGTAGATCTATGTACTCATATGTGCTCAAAGAAGCTGGCCATTGGAGGGGAGTTTGATTGATTAGAAGGCAGGCAGGCAGACAGACACACAGACAGACAGACAGACAGACAGGCAGATACAAAGACAGTTTTTTTAATGCCAGTACTGGAGCTTGAACACAGGGCCTAACACCATCCCTGAGCTTTTTTACTCAAAGCTGGCGTTCTGCCGGATGCCAGTGGCTCATGCTTGCAATCCTAGCTCCTTAGGAGGCTGAGATCTGAAGGTCCCCATTAAAGCCAGCCTGGGCAAGAAAGTCTGCGAGAACTCTTATCTCCAATTAATCACCAGAAAACTGGAAGTGGCACTGTGGCTCAAAGTGATTGAACACTAAGTTCCCAGGACCTTAAGTTCAAGCCCCACAACTGACAACAAAAAGGTAAAAAAGAAAAAGAAAAGAAGAGCTATTGCTCTACCCCTTGAGCCTTACCTCCACTTCCACTTGCTGGTTACTTGGAGATAAGATTCTCACAGACTTTCCTGCCTAGGCTGCCTTTGAACTATGATGCTGAGATCTCAGCCTCCTGAGTAGCTAGGATTGCAGCCATGAGCCACTGGTGCTATTGATTGATATATTAAACCACAAACCAAAAAAGCAATATCTTCTGCTGAACCCAGTGCAGGGCTGAAGGTACAGAAAAGAGCAAATCTGAGCTCCAGAGGGAAGTCATGTGGCCAGGGACAATCAATAAGTTCTATGTGTCTCCAGAGTTGCAGGCACCAAGGTAGGTAGGGAGTGTTTCCTTCCATTTTTCTTTATAATAACTAACAAATGAATGCATTTTTCTGTCTTTTTTTTCTTTTTGTAACTCATGAGGCTTTAATCATGAATAAGCTTTGTAAATCAAGGCTCCTATTGATTGATTGAAATGTCACCCAGAAAGTTGCTAGCAGTGACAAGGCCAGCTGCTACGCCTTCAACACCCTGGAATTTCTGGGCAGGGAGTAAATTGGTTCTGACTCTGGCTGTCTGAAGGAGCTCCCCATTCCGTGCTCCCCAGTCCCCACTGCAGAGACTCCAGCAAACTCACGGTAAAATGCAGTCTGCTTGGCCTTTCTCCCAAGAGGGTCGTGAGCATTAATTAGTTACCATCGGTAAGTGCTCTGAAGATGTGGGGGAGTATAAACACAGCAAGTCATTAGGCCGCTCCACACCACTATGCTCTCTCTAGTCTACAGCCTGGGAAATGCTAATTGAGAAATAATTAACCCCCTCAGGGTGCAAAGGACGGATGCCTGGCTTTTCCAAGATTGGAAGGAAGGTAATGATGTACTTGAGGAGCAGAGAGAAATAAAAGGCTGCTTTGGATATGTGGATCCTGAGACATATAGATGGTGTGGCTCTGCCCTCAAAAGAGAAAAAGAGACAGGAAGAAAAAGAGAAAGAGAAGGGATATTGACAACTGAAACTTTGACTGAACTGTCTGGAGAACACCCCTCCCATAGGGCTGGGCTGCAGAGGTCCAGGTAGAGACACAAGAACTCAGGTCCAAACCCAGGGGCTGGTACAGATGCTAGTTATATGCTCTGAGCAGTGTTCTTCCCAACTGTAAGATTGTAATAATACTGTGCATGTCCCATTCCCTCCCCGAAACCCTGTCATCAGGTTGTCTAGTACCTTTCCTATAAACCAGACCATCTAACATTCTACTGATTCTAATATTAAAATCATTCCAGGAGAGACTATAAAATAGGGACACTCAGGCTCACCCCAAACCAACAACCAGCACCTCCTATGTATGGGGTAGGGAGTGCATGGTGATGATCCAATAAGGTCAAGGTTGATAACCACTGCTCTGGCTGGCACAGCAGGTAGTATGTGGGAAGCCATGAGAAATACAGGCCTAACCTTCACTACATCCCACGCATTCCTCACATTGTCTTTGAGTATCCTGATCCCTCTACCTGGACATTCCATTTTATTCCCACCAACTATCTTGTCCTGGCAAACCCCATTTATCCTCAGATGGAATCCCTCCCTTCCCAGTTTCCTACTAGGCTCCTCTCAGCTCCATGATACCCCTAATCACCTATGTGTTGTTTCTGGAAGCTCCTGGAGCTAAGAGTTGTGTAGGCAGTGTGAGTTACAGTATCTTGCATTGGAGTGGCATATATTGGGGAATCTATAAGTGGTAGTTGTTATTGGTAGAACTATGACATGGGGCTCACTCAAGACATTTGCATTGTGATACTGTGTCTTCAGCATTCTGCCTGAGAGAACTGCAAAGTTCTGTCACTCACCTCCTTGAGGTCTTTACTAAAACGTTGCCTTCTCAATAAGGCTTTCCGTGATCATTCTATTTAAAATTGCCTCTTTACATCGCCTTTATAATAGTGATTTTTTAAAATTTAAATAAATTGCAATCACCCTGCTCCATATTCCATTCTCCTTCCTATTAACTTTCTCCAGAACACTTGACAACCTCTGATTGACAGACCATGTCTTCCTTTTTTAAAAAAATCACGTTATTGTAAAGGTGATGAACAGAGGGGTTACATTACATAAGTAAGGTAATGACAGCTTTTTTTTTCAGTGTTACCCCCTCCCTCGTTTTCTCCTACTTTCCTTCCTCTCCTGACTCTCTTCCCTGCAGGTTGTAAAGTGCATTTCCAATATAGTGCCTAGTGAGTATCATTATTGCATTGGTTCAGCCTTAGTTCCACCATTTCTATGATTCCTCTTCCCTTCAAAGACCCAAATTCTGATATTTTGTTCATTATAGACTTCTAGTGTATTAGTGTGTTAAGTTTGGCTTTTAAAAGTTAGTGTACTGGCTGGGGGCTCACACATGTAATTCTAGCTACTCAGGAAGGTAAGATCTGAGGATCACAGTTTGAAGCCAGCTTGGGTAGACAAACCCAAGAGACTCATCTTCAATTAACCATACACACACACACACACACACACACACACACCTCAAAAAAAGTTGGAAGTGGAGCTGTGGATCAAGTGGTAGAGCAACAGCCTTGAGGAAAAAAATACTCAGGATAGTGCCCAGGTCCTGAGTTCAAGGCCCAGGACCTGCACACACACATAAAAAGATGTAGTAATGAACTGGAAGTGGGTGGGTACCTCACCTGTAATTCTAGCTACTCAATAAGCAGAAATAGGAAGGATCAAGATTGGAGACCAGCCTAGGCAAAAAGTAGGTATCCTTCTGTCATCTCAGTTATGAATGAAGCTTAAATAGGAGGATCTTAACCCAGGTGGGACTGAAGCAAAACATGAGTAAGATCCTGACCCCCCTCAAAAAAAAAAACCCAACTGTATTAAAATCCTATTTGTCTGAGTTCTTTGCTGCCCTGCTTTAATTTAACTGTATTGGTTTATTGACTGCCTCCTTTTTCTAGAATGTAAGTTTCACTGACTGTAGTGGATTTTTTTTTGGGGGGGGGTCCGGTCATGGGGCCTGAACTCTAGGCCTGGGCGCTGTCCCTCAGCTCTTCAGCTCAAGGCTAGTGTGCTACTTCCGGCTTTTTTCTTTTCTGCTTATCTGGTGCTGAGGAATCGAACCCAGGGCATCAGGCATGCAAGGCAAGCACTCTACCACTGAGCCACCTTCCCAGCCCCTGTAGTGGATTTTCTTTGGTGTCTTCAACAGTGGTTTTGCCCAAGGCAGCTGTTCAAAAAATACTTTGTGAATGAACATTTGAATTTGTATCTTTAAAAATGGGCCACTAAGCAGGGAGTCAGTTGCTCATGTCGGTAATCCTACTCAGGAGACTGAGATTTGAGGATCCAGATCAAAGCTAGCCTGGGCAAGAAAGTTTGTGAGATCTCCAGTTTATAACTAAAAAGCTGGAAGTGGAGTTGTGTCTGAATTGGTAGAGAGCTAACTTTGACCACAAAAGCTCAAGGACAGTGCCCAGATCTTGACTTCAAGCTCCAAGATGCCTTCCCTCCCACCCCTCCCCACTCCCACACAAAGGCTGGCCACTGGAGCAAAGGTATTTTCTCCAACTGTTTTACAATTTTAAAGTTATTTATTGTGCTGGTTATTAATTTTTTGCTCAAGACTATCACTGGAGCTACAGCTCTACTTCTGGCTTTTTCGGTTGGTTAATTGTAGATAAGAGTCTCATTGACTTTCCTGTCTGGGCTGGCTTTGAACCGTGATCCTCAGATCTCAGCCTCTTGAGTAAGTAGGATTACAAGCCTAAAACATCGGCGCCTGAAAGGCTGGGTTGAGAGGATGAATTAAAAATATCTTCGAAGAGCCTGTAACCCTAGCTAGTTAGAAGGCTGCCATCTGAGGATCGTGGTTCAAAGCTAGCCCAGCCAGGAAAGTCGGTGATACTCATCTCCAATTAACCACCGCAAGCTGGAAGTGGTGCTGTGGCTCAACGTGGTAAAGAACTAACCTTGAGCAGAAAAGAGTTCAGGGAGAGCTGAGGCCTGAGTTCAAGCCCCAGGACCTCCAAAACAACAACAAAGACTTCTGCTGAGGGTTATCGTGGTTACAGAGCAATTGACAATCCTTCAGAGACTGGGGCGGAGCCTAGTAGTGGGCCGGCTTTAACCATAGAGTTTTGCCTCCCTGATTCCTAGAGTGCACTTCCGGAGTGGTGACTCGCTATCTATCCCTTTACCCCCCCCCCCGCCAATCTATGATCTTGGAACCGAAACCACTCTCTCATTGGTCCAATTTGCGGGAAAGCGTCTCTAGAGTGGGAAGGAGACAGAGAGGCGGGTCCGTCGATATTAGATACGGCTTGACGATTGGCTAGAAAGTCAGAAGGCGGGGCTTGTGGCCGGTGGGCGCCGGCGCGCTGGCCTCGTGTAGCGGCGAGCAGCGGTGCTAGTCTGGGCCGCTGTTGGTGAGCTTGGTTGGCGGCGGTGCGGGATCCCCAAAAGTGGCAGCGGGAACTGAGGGCTGAGCCTTGGCACGGGGCCCTAGAAGCTGGCGTCTATTCTCCCCTGCGCGTTGATTTGGGGCGGGGTCACACCTGCAGACTCGCGGCTGTGGCTGTCCCCGGCTCTGAGGGCGGGCGGCACTTCCGCCCGGTTAGCCTCGGAGGGCAGAGCCCCGCGTGCTCTAGCCAGCCCGCGTGGTGAACGAGCCCAGCTGCCCTTGCTCCTCCGGAAGCGTTGACTGGACCAAGGTCATCCCCTGGTCTTCCTGAGCTAGTGCTTAGAGCCCGGTGTGGCGCCCGTGCTGTGTTCTGACGCCAGGTCCGTGATGGGAGCAGGAGATTTGGAGCCAAGCGCGTTTCTTGGCCTACGGGGTGGATCTCCACCCATCGCTGTCGCCTGACACACTGACTTCACAAACTCAGAGCCCATGATTTGGGCATAATAATAGTTGGTATAATAATAACAAACACTCCATGGTACTTCCAGGCACCGTTGTGAACACGTGGAGTATGGCTTTCTTGATTGGATGGGGCAGCGGGGCTGGAAGGGCTGACTGCCCCTCAACAAAGCGGGTACTCTGAGTGATTGACCAGCTTTGCCCGAGTCTGAAGCATTGGACATGCTTTCGTTTTTATATTTGACAAATTTGAAAATTAGGGTTATATTAATCCCTATTGTGTAAGCAGAAGGGGCTGGAGCCAGAGGACTTCTCATTTAAATTCTCTAGCTAATTATTACACCCCTTTCCTTTTCATTTATTAATATATTTGTCAAGAAATGTTAATAGTAGCCTAAATATTAGGCGTTGTGCTACACCATGAAATACATCAATCAATGTGGAAAACCTCATGAACTCAGTTTAGTGGAGGATTGTGACATGAAACCATGCATCCCCAGTGCCTGACACAGTGGTGTCTCAAAACAGTTGTGGAGTGGTTCTGGTACAGTTTCCTGTAAGGAGGAGTGAGCTGAGGAAGTAACTTCCTGTGTGGAGGAGGAGGAGAAAGCTGCTTGTAGTAAGTGAACTTTGAAGAGTTTGAGTTGCTGGGAGGTGAGAGAGTTTGGCTAGTTGTGGGGAGTGGTGAGTGATTTGGCGGCATGTACAGACAATAGAATAAGAAGCTGAAAGAGGTGTGTTGGGCTGAAAATACAAAATGCTTAGATGCCATCCTGAGAAATCTATGATGGGCGGCTGCTAATGGATTGTGAACTGGGGAGTGATTGGGTCAGCTGACTTTCTAGCAGTCACATGGAGACTGATCTGATAGGTAAAGAATCATTCCATCAGTTTTTGTTTGGTTTTTTTGTCGGTTGTGGGGCTTGAACTCTGGGCCTGAGTGCTGTCCCTTAGCTCTTCAGCTCCAGGCTAGGGCTCTACCACGTGAGCTACAGCACCACTTCCGGTTTTCTGGTGGTTTATTGGAGATAAGAGTTGCATGGACTTTCCTGCCCAGGCTGGCTTTGAACTGAGTTCCTCAGATCTCTGCCTCCTGAGTGGCTAGGATTACAGGCATGAGCCACTGGCGCCGGCTCCATCAGTTCTTTGATAGAATATTTATTCAGTGTCTGCTGATTGCTGCAGATACTTCCTGAAATAAACAGTTCTTGCACTTAGCAGAATTTCTGGTCTGAATTAGTGCAGGTACACAGCTAGGCCTCTGCAGTGTCTTCCAGTGTAGACTAGCAATATCTGCATCACCTGGGCACTCCTTAGAAGTTCTCAGTACTGGGCTGGGAAGGTGGCTCAGTGGTAGAGCGCTTGCCTTGCATGCCTGAGGCCTGGGTTTGATTCCTCAGCACCACATAAGCAAAAAAAAGAAAAAAGCTGGAAGTGGTGCTATGGCTTAAGTGGTAGAGTGCTAGCCTTGAGCTGAAGAGCTGAGGGACAGCACCCAGGCCCAGAGTTCAGGCCCCACAACCGGACCCCAAAAAAAAAAAAGTTCTCAGTACTGGACATGCTGACTCACATAGAATCGCAGTTTAAGGCCAGCTCAAGCAAAAGATTCACCTCATCCAATGAAAGCTGTGTGTGGTTTGTGTATACCAGAGCATAAGTGGAAGACCCTATTTAAAAAAAAAAATCAAAGAGGGCCAGGAGTATGGCTTAAGTGGTAAGAGTGGCTTAAGTAGTAAGAATGCTGCTACAGGTTCTCTCCCCATGTTCCAGATCTGTGGAATCAGAAACTCAGGTTGGGGTCTTCAGTGGTGGGTTGTTTTTCATTGGCATAACTGGAGAGCTGTGCTCAGTAACCTGTACTCAACAGGCTGCCAGTTCTTCATAGACTACTGAGGAGAGATACTCACTAGAGTCTTTACCCTTTGACTCATTAAATCCATTTGTGAAATGTTCCCTAAACATAAAACAAAACAAAAAAAAGAAGCCACCTATTCATTATGTAATAGAAAGCAACTCTGGTTACTGCTTCTACTATAGTCCATCAGTGAAAATCAGTGGAAAGTTGGAAGCCATTAGACATAGGAGATATTTTGTAAACTCAAAAATAACATCTTCATTGGACATTGTCTAGTAAGTGAGGAGAAATGCTGAGGAAACAGTTGGGCTTTGCCAGCATGCAGCTAAAAAGAGGAAATCTGGCAGCCATGTGAGCAGTCACCCACCCAAGAAGTGATTAGTGCTTGATGGAGGCCTTGCAGGAGAAACGAGTCTTTCAGGGTGTGGGGAGTAGAACAAGGAAAGCTTTCCGGTGGACAAGATGGCCACCCTGCAGTTTGGAGGCTGGGTAGCTATTGCTATACAAATGAGGATGTCCAAAAGAGACTGTGTTTAGAAGAATGGGGTACAGCTGGCACTGGGAGAGGACAGCATAGAGATGAGACTGCAGGGCCAGCGCACTGCCAGGGCATGCCGTGTACACCTTAAAGTCAAAGCTTAACCTTAATCCAGAGGCAGCAGGAAAACATTTCAATAACAAAATCAGCATTGTCGTCTGTGTGAGCAGTTGAAGGAGGCAGGAATCCTAGCCATAGACCTATGAGGAGGCTGTTGGCAACTGCTGGGGTGGTGATCTGGACCTGGACCTGTGGATGTGAGGGGTGGGGTGGGGGGAGGAGCCCTTAGGGCTCGTGAATATGGCGGAAGTTAAGGGGCAGAGTAGGTGAACCCAGGTTGGTTTCTGCTTTGGGTGGAGGGAGGCAAGTGGTGTGGTGCAGAGTGATAGGCAGCTCTGGAGAATGGGGTTGGGGAAGATGATAGTTCATGCAGCGTGCCCACTCACGGGGATCAGGTGGATATGTAGGTCTGGAGCCCCACACCAAGGGGAGATGTGGACTGGCCAGCTAGCCTGTGCTGTGAGGAGGTGGAGGGACACAGTATGCAGCCATTATATCCACTGTACATTGTGTTAAAAATGAACTATGTAGGAAGTGGAGCTGTGGCTCAAAGTGATAGATTGCTAGCCTTGAACACAAAGGCTCAAGGACAGTGCCCAGGCCCTGAGTTCAGGCCCCAGGACTGACAAAAACAAACTATGTAATTTGAGGGTAGGAATAGGAGGAGGGAAGTTGGGAGAGAATGAAGGAAGGGGTAGCATTGACCAAGAAGCATTGTACTTATAACCTGATTTATGAATTGCAACTCCTTTGTACACTGCTTAATTATAACAGTAATTTTTTAAAAAAGAGACAAGAGATTATAACTATGTTAGCAGCAGTTGTCTGAGGGATTCTAATTTATTTCCTTTGTTTCACTTACTTTCCTCAGTTTTCTAAAATAATAGCAATAGCAAATGTCCACCTAGTTTTGGTATGTGCCAGAAACTCTTCTAGGAACTTTTTCTGACTCTTCTAAAAGTCCCACGGTAAACCTACAAGGTAGGTCCCCTTGTTACTGCATTTCACATTGTAACTGGGAAAAGGAGCTAAGGGATGTGTTGTAGACTACACAAAGGCTGGCAGATGAGGCCCACCTGGGGTTCAGGCTGTCTGATGCTAGAGCCTATACACATGCTGCACAGGTTGTAGGGTTTTGGTTTTTTGTTGTTGTTTTGCTAGCCTTGAACTCAGGGCCTGGTCTCTTGTCTCTGAGCCTCTGTGCTCAAGGTTAGCACTCTACCACTTGAGCCACAGTGCCATTTCTGGCTTTTTCTGTTTATGTGGTACTGAGGAATCGAACCCAGTGCTTCATGCAGCTATTCAACTACTTTACCACTAAGCCACATTCCTAGCACCACTAAGTTGTGTTTTCATAGTAAGTAAAATACTAATATTAAAAAAGGAGAGGGTCTGGGCATTGGTGGATCATGCCTGTAATCCTAGCTTCTGAGGATCAAGGTTCGAATCCAGCCCTGGCAGAAAAAAAAAATCTGTGAGATTCTTTTCTCCAATTAACTGCCAAAAAGCCATATATGGAGCTGTGTTTGAAGTGGTAGAGTGCTAGCAGTGAGCAAAAAAGCTCAGGGACAGTATGTAGGCCCTGACTTCAAGCCCCAGGATCAGTGCCTATGCATGTGGGTGTACGCACGTGCGCATCCACACATGCACTCACACACATACAAGGAAAAGTAAGAGATAACAAAAGTATGCTAGAATATTAGAAGTGGAAGGATTTACACCTGCACAATCAGTGGATGTTCTGGGACTTCCCTGGATCCCAGGCTGAATGGCTGCTTGTATCAGAACTCGGTTAACATTCATCCTGCACAACTTGTTTTTCTCCAGGTGGTGGGCTTCCCTGAGGAGGACATCATGGAAGGGCTACTGACAAGATGCAGAGCATTGTGTACCCTGGCCACCTGCAGTCTCCAGCTCTCCAGATGTGTTCCCCACAGGTGTCACCACTGTGCTCCAGAGAAAGGGCAGCGCCTGGTATTGTCTAAAATGTTCCAGCCACAGAACCTTCGGGAAGACCAGATGCCCATCCCGGAGGGCAAATCTGACAGCTTGACCTGTAAGAGCCAGAGATTGATGCTGCAGGTGGGCCTGATCCTCCCAGCCAGCCCCGGCTGTTACCACCTCCTGCCGTACACTGTACGTGCCATGGAGAAGCTTGTGCGGGTGATAGACCAGGAGATGCAGGCCATTGGGGGACAGAAAGTCAACTTGCCCAGCCTCTGCCCGGCAGAGCTCTGGCAAGCCACCGGCCGCTGGGACCTGATGGGCAAAGAGCTGCTTAAACTTAGAGACAGGCACGGCAAAGAATACTGCTTAGGACCGACTCACGAGGAAGCTGTGACAGCCCTGGTTGCCTCCCAGAAAAAACTGTCCTACAAACAGCTCCCCTTCCTGCTCTACCAGGTGACAAGGAAGTTTCGGGATGAGCCCAGACCCCGCTTTGGTCTTCTCCGTGGCCGGGAATTCTACATGAAGGATATGTACACCTTTGACTCCTCACCAGAGGCTGCCCAGCACACCTACAGGCTGGTTTGTGATGCCTACTGCAGCCTATTTGACAGGCTAGGGCTGCCGTTTCTCAAGGCCCAGGCAGATGTGGGCAGCATTGGGGGCATGCTGTCTCATGAGTTTCAGCTCCCAGCAGATGTTGGAGAGGACCAGCTTGCAGTCTGTCCCAGTTGCAACTTCTCAGCCAACATAGAGCTGCTAGACCCATCACAAGCAAACTGCCCTACCTGTCAGGGCCCACTGACACAAACCAAAGGCATCGAGGTGGGGCACACGTTCTACTTGGGTACCAAGTACTCCTCCATTTTCAATGCCCAGTTTACCAATGCCCATGGCAAACCATCCCTGGCTGAAATGGGGTGCTATGGCTTGGGGGTAACACGGATCTTGGCTGCTGCCATTGAAGTGTTTTCTACAGAAGACTGCATCCGCTGGCCCAGCCTCCTGGCTCCTTACCAAGTCTGCCTCCTCCCCCCTAAGAAGGGCAGCAAGGAGACGGAGGCCACCGAGCTAACTGGGCACCTGTATGACCACATCACAGAGGTAGTGCCTCAGCTCCGTGGGGAAGTTGTGCTGGATGACAGGACCCATCTGACCATTGGAAACAGGCTGAAGGATGCCGACAAGTTGGGCTACCCCTTTGTGATAATCACTGGCAAGAGGGCCCTGGAGGACCCCGCACACTTTGAGGTTTGGTGCCAGAACACTGGTGAGGTGGTCTTCCTCACCCAAGAGGGAGTCATGGAATTACTGAGGACACAAGTGCAGGTTGTCTGAGGGCCACAGCCCTGCTCCATCCTACAGCCAACATGGCCACTTGCACTGCACTTGCTCCCCTACTCTAGGTATGCCATTCCTTTTATAGTCCATTCTGGAAGCTTCTGTGAGGAGGCCAAGGAGCATGAAAGAGACTTGAGTCTGGTCTTGGCTCTTGGGTGAATCATTTCCCCTCTCAACTAAGTTTCTCTGTACATAGGAGGGGAATGTTGATGGCCAAGGACCATCTGCTTCTCCCACCCATTCTAGAGTCTGAGTCTGTGAAGCCTGAGGAAAGCTGGGTGTTGGTATTTCACAGTATTCCTAGCTAGTCAGGAGGCTGAGATCTGGAGATTACAGTTGAAAGCCATGAAAGCAAGAAAGTTCATGTGACTTTTATTTCCAGTTAACCACCAGAAAACTGGAAGTGGTGCAGTGGCTCAAAGTGTTACAGTGCTAGTCTTGAGAAAAAAGAGCTCTTGGACAGTGCGTGGGTCCTGAGTTCAAGCCCCATGACTGACAAAAAAAAAAGAAAGAAAATGAAGTAAGCTAAGCTGAGAGTGGAGGGAAAGAACCCAGAGATCTGATTGCTACCAGCTCAATGGTTACTTAACACACCCACTCCCTGCCAGCCTGTTTCCCCATCTGTAATATAAGGAGGTGGAGGTAGACCTGTGAAGTCCTTACAGTTGTAACTGGGTGTTTCCATGAGGTTCATGACTGGCAGGCCTGGTTTCTCCTATCCTCCATGGGCTGAACTTCCTACAAACTTGACTTTGCCCTTTACAGTGGCTTCTTCCTGAGATCATGTCCTTTGATTGAATAAAGTCACATTATTGGAATGAGTCATCAACATTCATTTGAAACAAAAACAACAGCTACTGGTTTAACCACTCACTTGCCTTAATTTTTATTAATTCCACACAAGAAAGTGAAGCTGGGTGCTGGTGGCCCATATCTGTAATCCTAGCTACTCAGGAGTCTGAGATCTGAGGATTGCAGTTCAAAGCTAGCCCAGGCAAGAAAGCCCATGAGACTCTTGTCTCCAATAAACCACTAGAAAATGGGAAGTGGCGCTGTGGCTCAAATGGTAGAGTGCTAGCCTTGATCTGAAGAACTGAGGGACAGCGCCCAGGCCCAGAGTTCAAGGCCCTACGACTGGCAAAAAAAAGACATATCTTCCTAATCATTTCTATCACTTTTTTTTTAGTCCTGGGGCTTGAACTTAGCCTTAGTCTATCTGTGCTCAAGGATAGTACTCTACCACTTGAGCCACAGTGCCACTTAAGGCTTTTTCTGTTTATGAGGACTCGAGCCCAAGGCTTCATGCATGCTAGGCAAACACTCTACCACTAAGCGACATTCCAGCTCCAGAAGATGTTGTTTTCAACTGTTTCTCCCAACAGATACCAGGGGCAGCATGGTTCAGCCCTACAGTGACCTTGTTCTGGATTCAGATTGGATTCCAGCGCCACGATAGGGGTAACTGTTAAGAGCTAGCTGGTTTCTGCCTTGATCCTGTGAGGAGCTGCAGGTAGCCCTGTGTGGCCACAGTAGTGTCACCTATTTTCCTTGCTCCCTCATACAGATTTCCATCCTTGCTGCTCTAGGATCACCATGTGTCTGGGTCTAACAAGAGCCTATCATGGCCAAGCTCAAAGCCACCTCCTGAAAAGTTGCCTGAGCTCCTGGAATAATTCTTCCCTCTACCTACAGTGGCATTCCTTGTTTTACACAGACAGTTCGCTGGCCTTGTCATCGATGCTGAGCCTTCTGAGGCTAGGCATTATCACCTGGTGCCCTGCAGTTCTTCTTTTGGCCAGTTTCCCACCTACTACGCATCTTGGCAGCCTGATATGGCTGTTGCTGTTATTGCTAGAGCAGCCCTGTTCCTCACACACAAGGTTTCTCAGCACATGTCTGTTAGCACAGTGGCTTCCAGACATTCCTTTGGAGCTCTGGGTCCCTTTATGAGGCCAGGAGATGAGAATTATGAGAGCAAACCTAGACAAGCTAGGTTGCAAGGCTGAGTCTCTTACCTTAGCACATTGGAATTTCCTGGGTTCCTCATTTAGTTTCTGGTTCTGATGTGAGCTGCAAGCCTAGGCATCTAGAAGTTCACAACTTTCCAGAAAACTACACTGCATGTATGGAGATGTCATAATGAAAAACCCTGTATTACAAACATACACTAACTCAAAAACGAGATTTTAGCTGGGTGCTGGTGGCTCAAGCCTGTAATCCTAGCTACTCAGGAGGCTGAGATTTGAGGATTATGGTTCAAAGCCAGTCAGGACAGGAAAGTCTGTGAGACTCTTATTTCCATTTAACCACCAGAAAACCACAAGTGGTTCTAAGGCTCAAAGTGGTAGAGCACTAGCCTTGAGCAAAGGGACAGTGTCCAGGACCCTAGTTCAAGTCCCACTACCAACATTTAAAAAAAAAAGGGGGTTTTAGGATTAGCAAGCCAGCTAATTATAAGCCTAACAAATGTATGCTTCCCCGAGTGATTTGAGGGTGATGTAGACTCCTGCTGGCTGAGAATGAGGTTCAGTTCACAGCTGGGAAACAGCCTGGAGCTAGAAGAAAGTACTGCACACTATCTAACTGGCAGGTGTCAGCCAGCCATCACTGACTCTGGACTGTTATGTTGAAGGAAGGGAAGATGGACAGGGTCAGGCTTTGAGCTGCCAAAGGCCTCATAAGCTGCTGAAATTGGTACCTAACCTTTTTATTCAATAGGGAGACATGCAAGGGCATCCTGATTGCTAAGCCAGAGTTTCTTCTGGCAGCGAGGGGCAGTGTGGTATAGTATGAAGATCATAGCCTTGAAGAGACATAATCCTGGATTCACCACTTACTGGGGATGTGACCTGAGACAAATTGCTTGTCCTTTGCACGTCTGAGTCTTCATTGCTAAAATGCTCAAGCTAATGGCACCTACTTTGTAATCTGAGGCTGAGATCACTGTTGTAAAAGGCTTAACCCTCAGTCTATATTTGAGAAACCCTGCCCTTACACCTGAGGATTTCCAGTGATTTAGGAAGTCCCTCTGGGAGCTCAGGCTCTGCTGCTAACATTGTTAGCTTAAGACCTGAATCTTGTTCTCTTGGCCTGATGCTTTATGGCCTTTCTTTCTGGGAAAAGTCAGGAGTAAGAACTGGGTACCACCTGCAGATCATCTCCTTGGAAATATTCACACAGTGTCCTTTACTCATTTCTGTAACTGCTGGGTTTACCTCTTGCCATAAATAGATGAAATGGGACGTTGGCAAAAGTTAACAGGCACAGGCTAGATTATCATTGCTTATTCCTTGGGGAGATCTAGAGGCAACTATCTGGGAAATAACAGAATTAAATCTTAGGGACAAAGGCTGGTGCATAACAAACACATCATGTAAGCCAAGCTTAGAATGTAAACCAAGGGCTTCATTAATATTGTTTTAATGGAAGAAACACCTGCTAGGTGATCAATAAAGGAATTTAGTAAAAATCTGTTGAAATCACTACTTCCTTAACTGCTTGAATACCAAGCCTCTTCGGAGTTCTACATTAGGATGCCAGGATGCTTTCTGGTACAGATTGCTTAGAATACAAGGCTTGCTTTTATTGGGGCAAAAATTTTGTGATATCAGCACACTCTTAAACACTTAAAAAAAATCAAGGTACTTCAGTTAGTTTAAAACATTAACTTACATAATGGGAATAAGTCAGCGATGTACCTGATTTTCCTCAGAGTTCCTGCATCTCCCCTCCCTTTCCTTGAGACAGTATCTGTCTCAGCAGGTGTAGACAGGCAGTTTACCCCTATATTAAGGGCAGTTCTTGTACAGTAGGTACACCATGGGCCAGCTGAAGTGGGTGGCATCCTAGTGCAAGAATGTGTCCACTGCTGCCAAGCCAGCAGCAGGCTAACAAGCTCCCATGGTTGAACTCAATTGCCCATAGCTAATGAAAATGAGTGGAGGCGGCACACACACTGGGTAACTGTAATGGTGGACTCCCCTTTTGCTTCCCCAGAGCACAGATTCTGTGGGGTGATGGGAGCCCCACTGATGGGCGTGTCAGGTGCTGTAGGGATCTGGCAATGGGTTGTGGCAGAGGTTTTGCAGATAACAGGTTCTAGGCAGACAGCCAGGTGGGGACATTGTGTGACAGTGAGGGCCAAGACCTTACCACAAGCTTGGAGTAAGGGCAGCTGAGTCAACTGTGAAGTTAGGAGCTGGTCAGCAGTACTGGAACTCAGTGTTCACAGCAGTCTTCATCACCCAACTTTGTGCCCCTGTCAGCAGTGTTTCATCCCAACTCAATCCCCAGCTGCCACCCTACATCCACAGAGGTAACAGACAAAAGTTGGATGGTCTACCTCCATGGCTGACTGCTGGCTCTGGGAAGGAAGAAGGGCTGTGCTTGGGTGCTTTCAGGTCAAGGGCCCAGAAGTGGAAGAGGAGGAGTTCTGACCTCCTGTCAGGGAAGCAGATGTAGCAGCACACAACTTGCCCTTGTCCTCATCCTTCCACCTCCATGGACCTCCATTTCCCCATCTCAGTAGGGGAAGGGGAAGTTTGAGTTCTTGGGACCATCTGGAGTCCCAGGAATGTATACAGTGACCAGGAAGGCACCAGATAAAAGTCAGTCTCCTATCTCTGGCAGGAAGCATCTGCCTCCCAGGGTAACTACACCATCTCCACACACCCCTGCCCTGCCTCCTGAAGAAGGCCAGCAATTGAATGCCACGTGTGCCTGCCCCACCTTGAGTTTGTTCTGCAGAGGGTTAACAGAAGCCAGGAGCCTTCTTGAGGGAGGAAAAGACTAGGGCTCAAGCCTAGGATTGCCCTTGCTGGGGCTTGTGTTTACAAGTGGGGACCTGGGAACAGACACTGGCTTATTGTATTCCTTTGTGCATTGGTTCCTTTGTTTTCCTGATAGGCACTCAGGAAACTCGGTGGCCCCAAGAGCTGAAGCTCAGCTGCGGGGAGTGGCAGTGAACACCTGGACACACAGGTGCACTGCAGTGTCTGAGAGGCAGGGGCAGATGTCAGAGGGCAAGGATGGGGTGCATGCCTATCAGGGAAGGGCCAGCTCTGCTGGCAGCTGGAAACACAGTGGAGGAGGAAAATAAGCAGGGGTTAAGTGGGTAGACCAGGCAGAGAAAGCACATACCTAGTCAAGGGAACTAGAGCAAAGGTTTGTGGAAGGAACTGAAATGGGCTGTGTGGACAATAGGGAGAGGCCAGCCCAGCCCAGTGATGTGTTGCTTATTTTGCTGGTCCTGAGGCATGAATTCTGGACCTGAATGCTGCTTTGAGCTTTCATGCTTCTGCCAGTGCTCTACTACTTGAGCC